CGATACAAGTTGAGTCCGACGGGGGTGGCAAAACACAAATAAAAGAGAAAATAAACTCACGAGACAAAAAGATTGCTGATGAAAAAAAATGGGTAACAACCCTTTATATCTTAATGTCCGTTACATAAAAACAAAATTGTTCTCATTTCCCGACCCGCTCTGTGGACTATGGCACCAAGCTTCTATCACACAACCTAAAGATTTCGAATTGCCTACTCTTTAGAATTGTGTATGTCGGAGTGTGGTTTGGTTCGACACTGGGGCTAATTTCTATCGATCATTCGCAGTTGATTCTTCTCTTCGACTTGAGTTGTATTTCTTCTTCTTCGTCGACTTAGGCTGGAAGTTCTCTTGTCTTCGACTTGGGCTGGAAGGATTTCTTGTCTGAGGATTCTCTTGCCCGCAAAGGGGCGAGTGAATCGGGCCTGATGCCCGCGTTCAGGCTCTATCCCTGCCCGCGGTCCAGCTGCAACTCTCAACTCCAACTGATTTCTGTCGACTGGGGTCCTGCTTTTATTGACGCCGCAACAAACTGGGGTGGGTCTGTCGGCGTCAGGGTTTTCTCGATAATTCCAAAAGTCGCATTATTTTTTGACTTCCCATTATCGCTATTGTTTTCACCCCTACTTCCTCACAGTGCCTTTTGTGGGGAGGTGCACACCCATCTCTCTTAGTCTCTCGTATGTCAGGTGACCGTTTTTCGACCAATGGTTCCTGATCAGGCATTTCTTTCTCTTCTTTTCTGCAGATCACGTGACCGTTTCCGACCAATTGTTATTGATCGAGCATCCTTTCTCCTCCTTTCGGGCGTGGTTACATCGTTCTTGTTTTTAAAAACAAAATCCAATTTTGCCTTTTCTGCACGTACGAAAAAAATGACAATCTTGGCTTTCTCTCACCTGGGCTCTGTCAAACAGCCCGCCGCTAATTAGATGTGACTTCAGGAAAGAATATTGGCGCTATCTGTGAACTGAGACAATCGTCCCTTCACCTCCCGTCTTTGTCAGACCCGACAGTCAGAAAATCTTAATTATCTACATTGAAAATATCTTTCACTCGTCAATGTGGGGGTTCTAATTTTTAACAGGTCAGAATCTGTATACAATTCCACCGGTCACTCCCCTCAACCCAAAGACACTTTTTCTCTGATTAAGATTTCGTTCTCATTGTTCTAAAAAAATTTCCCTTTTTCCAAATTGATAAGGTGTCTTTCTACGCAAAAGTAGGCTAGATGCTTTGACCGATATCTGGTTTTCATCAAGCGGCCCGTCTTGATATCATGTCTTTTTCCCTTTCTTTCTTTTTATTATTTCTAATTCTATTCTTCCAATTGTCTTTAAAAAATTCGGTCAACATGCTGGCTAAGATATCTTTCTGACTCCTACCTCCACCATTGACTGGGTCATGCATCATCCAACTCTCTTTCTTTCTTTTTCTTTTCTTTCCTCTTCTTCCCTTAGGATCGTCCAAGTACAATCTTAGTGAATTATTTTCAACTCAATTATTTTCCGTTTTAAAAAAAAAAATTAACAACCTGTTTAGTAAACCGAGTAAGAAAAAATTAAATCATATTTCTATGAATATTTCTAATAATGCAAGGTGCCACAGTAGTATAATTTGTATTTACTGATTACTTGTTTATTTGTATTTCGGTAATCATTTTCTTCTGATTTTTAATGGTTATGTAAATGGTTTCGATATTTATTTTTCATGTTATTTTTATTGTTATTGCTTTTTGCTGAGGTAAGTTGGATTATGGAGGCACGTTAGAGTAATAGATAACGGCTCGGATAAAGAAAATGGAGAGCCGAGTTCCAATTCCACTCGAATCCATTACATTCACTTACGTGCTAATACTATGGGGAAAAGTGCGAAACCTCTTCTTCTCCCCCAGCTATGGGTAAATAGCTGGACAGGTTGTGTTCTATAGCCTTGGATGGCAACTGGTCTACCCTAGAAAGAAATGTCAACATACCGCGGGAAAATATCTGCCTCGTAAGTCATGTATTTTTCGATACATGGTCACCTAAGCGTGTATAACTCGTGGCACATAACTGAAGTTGGACTGGTTTATTTATAAATTATTTTGGAATTTATTATTGATTAATGTTTGCATTATATATTAATAATCATTATAAACTATTATATCAAAAGGTATTGTATTCTATTTATTACATTATTTATAAGGATATTTTGTGTCTACAGTGACTTTCCTTATGATAGTACTTATCAACTAATACTTTAATTTTACTAAATCATTACATGATTTTGTAAAGCAATCAACAAAGAAAAGTGCATATAAGAAACTTTGCATACATTTAATACTTTAGCAATTTCTGATGTGTCATAAAGTCAAACTCATATAAATAGTGTCTTTCCTTTTCATTTTATTACATGACCACAAGCACATACTTTCATACTAATTATAGATAGATAGATATAGATATATATAAATAGTGGTACTCGCTTGGAAAAACCAGCTGCTAGCGGCTTGGTGAGAGTAGTCGTGGCTCCAGGGGGCACAGTCCTATGGTTACAGAGAACTCAGTTGAGTTCCGCCACGGAATATGTGAGCGAGCGGCGCTAAGTTGAGTCTGATTTGGAATCTCTTCGTCACCGAGGCCCATTTGGAACAGTTGGTATAATGTTTGCTTGACAACCTAACCGTCAGAGCTTTCAATTCTCGGTAGTGGATGCACACTGCTGATGAGTCCCAAATATAGGACGAAACGGACGTCCAGTGCTTTCTGCATTCTGTTGAGGTTTCTATCAAACTCGATGAATTAATTATATATATATATATATATATATATATATATATATATATATATACACACACACAGTAGCGTCCAAAACTAAGGGACAAAATTTTAAAACCTAATATTTGTTAGAAATAACAACTGTGAAAAGCTGAAATTTTGACAACTGGTAGTCGTATGAAGCTTCAAGAAGAATGGTCTAAAATTAGTATCGAGGATTGTCAAGAACAAGGGCTCATTTACTAAATATTGATTGTACATGTATTTTTATTGTTTTTTTGCCGTTTACATTGTTTTTCTCAATTTTGTCCCTTACTTTTGGACGATCCTATTTTGAAAATAAATAAATAATTGTTATAATTCTTTTTCTATCCTTTGCAAATGATTCAAATTTTATTTGGATGATAACGACTACCAGTTGTCAAAATTTCAGCTTTTCACAGTTGTTATTTCTAACAAATATTAGTTTTTAAAATTTTGTCCCTTAGTTTTGGACGCTACCGTATATATATATATATATATATATATATATATATATATATATATAGATGAGAGAGTTTTAAAGTTTTTCTTGATTTATCATATATATATATATATATATATATATATAATGATAAATCAAGAAAAACTTTAAAACTCTCTCATTTATATCATGATTATTTTTATATTCAGCTATTCAGACTGAAAGTATTGCTTGTGTAACTTACATTGATCTCTCTTTGGATTAATGTCCTCCTTGGATTTATCCCTACCAAATACAAATTGGCATTATATATATATATATATATATATATATATATATATATATTATTTTTAAAAATATTTTTATCATCAACCGACATGAACATTCGAGAAATCTTATTAAAGAAAAATGCATCCTTCCAGCAGAAAAAAAGTCCCGTTTAGAAATAAACGGAGCGACTACTCAAATATGGGTACCCACTAAAAATAACATTTAAATTAATAAAAACATTTTTGGTTAATAATAAATAAAATTTTTGTAATAATAAATAAAATTTTAATTTGCAACTTTTTCTATATATGCATACTTTCTTAATATGTATATATAGAAAAAGTTGCAAATTAAAAAAATAATAATGTTCTTTTATGAAAGTATTTTATATATATATATATATATATATATATGTGTGTGTGTGTGTGTGTGTGTGTATGTATGTTCGCTTTCTGACTATGAGACCCGGGTTCGAATCTCACTGTGGTTGATTTGTCAGGGAGCAGTTTTCCTGATATAATCTGGAAGGGCGGTCTCTGCGTGTGGCATCTTTGTAAAGTGCCTGAAAACCATACCACAGGTTGACCCAAGCCTTCTGAGTGAAATTGGGTAGACGGAAGCCTTGGCGACCGTCGATAGCTGTGCTAGCTCGAAGTCACAAGTCATCGTGACCGAGGGTTTGAGTGTGCTGGTGTTGTTCAGATTGTTGATCATTCTAGATAACACGCTTTCTCCCAGAAACTGTAACTAACGTCTGCTCAGTATAGTTTTAGTATAAACCACGGGTTGGCCCTGTGGGTGTTGAACAAACACAAATATGCCTGAGCGAGCGTCTGCAATAGGGATTGGCTAGCCGCACTAATAGACAGTTATCCTTGAATACGAGTGACCAGCTATTATGTATGTATGTATGTATATACAGTGTAACTCGGATATAAGAGAGTTGTCGGGGCCGGAGAAGAAGTCTCTTATATCCGGGTTTCTCTTATATCCGGGTTTCTCTTATATCCGGGTTACACTGTGTATGCATTCTTACATTAAAATAATAATTACGCTATTCGCAAATTTAGATATCTAACTCCTATACATGCATAAACTGTGTGATGCCTGTATGCATGTACGTGCACACACATACAGAATCATATATATAATCACAGGCTAAAAGATACGTTTTTAGAAACCATAGCCCATATACATAAAGCAAAGATAGTTTCCAATTCGCAGTGTAATCTAGTCTACTTATAAACGCATACATCTATTTGCATACCTACACTAATTCCTAGAGAAGCGGACGTCCATACGCGCGTGCGCTTAAAAATACACGTATAAATATAGATACCTATGACCTTATCTTTTATATACGGTAACGTTTTATTTTCCGGGCGAACAAAATAGTCTCTACTAGAGAAGACAGCGCCAAAAAAAAAAAAAAAAAAAAAAAAAAAGAAAAGATAAAAGTGGAGAGAGCGTCGTGTGCGGGGCAAAGCCGAACCAAGCAGAGAGCAGACCTTGGTGATGACGAAGAGGACGATGTCGAGAGGGATCTGCGAAAAAAACCAGCAGGGCTTCTGAACGCAGCAGGAAGAAGCGGCGCGTTATCACATCGACTAGAGACTGGAAGGGAAAACGACGCCATCTTCGTGACAACATCGACCTTCGAATGCAACGTTTCTCTCAAGGGCGGCGTTCCTCGAATGGAAACGAGATCTCGTCAAAAAAGTAAAAGAATTTAAAAAAAATACAATAAGAAAACGAGATCTCATTTTGCCAGGAAGAATGTTGGCTGACGAGGAACGGATCACAGCATCTACCTCTTCACCATTCTCTGTGTGTGATCGACGAAGTAATGGATGCTCTCTCAGTGGGAAACCCTGCTTGGCACGGTCTTCACCTTATCTGTCATATCTCTATGAAGAAACAGTGCTTTCATTTCATTTTTGTTTGGGCTAATGGAAGAAGATTTCCAGACAACTTACAAGTGATGCTTTACTCTAAATGCTAAATACTATTTACAGTATAATAGAGAATAACTAGGAGTCTCCAGCTTTCGAATAAAATGCGACTCTGAGAGCTTTCTCTATTTTTAATTTAAAATACAAAGATGCTATAAGAAAATTGAAAATCTGAGGTCATTTATATGGCAAGAAATTTCTCAGTAGAACCAGTAATACCAACCAAACATACAGGCAAATCTGTATTTTTTTTATAATTTAGCAGAATTAATTTTAGATTTTTTTTTTAAATCTCGTTTTTACTTCAGGACGTATGAGATCATGAGTCATCATAGATTCCTTTTGTTTATTAATTGTAAATTGCCATGCGTTCTTGAAAAGATAGTGGAATGATTTCTCATTGTCTAGTGCATGATTTTGAATTCAGTTTTCCTTTTCTTAGACTGGTTGCCAATCAAGTCTACTCTGCTATTTAAGTCCGAGATAGAGATTGAAGAAAAGACGGATTCATGTCCTAACGGCATTAGTGAGAAAGTGAACTCATAAGTGTAGCTCAGAATTCAAACACGACTTACCAATTCTATTTTCCGCGCCGGTTTTATACGATGGAGGCACAATAATCTCAGCTTATGGTTGAGAGACTTCAATTATTGTTCTCTTAATTTTACTGTAATTGCTGGTTAAACTTGAAAATGGTTCTAAGGGAAATGTGTTTTTACTAAAAAAGACGTTGAAAAGCGTGAAATGTAAGAACACTATAATTTAAATCTGTATTTGCTTATGCTTGAGGTCGTTGCTTATTTCTGATTAGTACAATTTGTTCGAGCCCAGCTATAATTTCAAAATACTGATTTTCAAGGTAGGTGTACTCTTCTCGCTTGGAAGGTAGGCAAAACAAAACTTTCTTACCCACATTATCTTCCACGTACCGTATTTAGCTAGGCTTATTAGGCAGCAAACATTCTTTTATGGGTATTTACTTAGTAAATTTGGACAGACGGCTACAAATGTAGGCTTGAATGTACGTCTTTATTAATATTCTGCGGGACTGCTTTGATAACCATAATGAGGAAGTCGAGTTATTTAGGAAGTAGAGCTTAATTTTAGCACAAAATTACAAACACGAAGTATCCAATAAGAACCAAACTAGCTAGTATTGATTTAACAGATTGGCTAGTTAACCATTAAACCAGGACAAAAAGTCATAAAAAGATATTTTTCCTTTCGCCCTAAGCAAGGTAATAAAGGCACTAAGACACAAGAAGTTACTGAGTGTGAAAGAAACTGAGAAAACGTTAGTTCGAAAAAAAAGTCAATAAAACGCTGAATATATGATATAAATGTTTACAGCAACGAAGAAACAAATAATCGTAATAATGCGACACAACAAAAGCAGCCATTTATTTTGAGACATTTAATATGATGCTATTTCTGACCTTAGGTTTCGAATAGGGGCCCAGAAAGAAATCAGTATACACCAGAAATCAAACAAAATAATAATAATAATAGTTCATATTAATAATACGTCCTAGGTAAAACGTTAAACTACGTCCAGCAGCAAGGCCTCTGATCAGGAGGTTTTGAGGAGCGTGAAACCACCTTTTAATTGCTGGTGTTTCCAGGTCCACCCTCACCCAGGGTGGTAGCACCTGTTAGGGTCCCAGCTATGGGAAAATAGTTAACTATTACCAGCAATACTTAAAAAAAAAATTATTACCAGCAATACAATTTTGAAAGAAATATATTACAAGAAACAGATTTTTGACAAAACAAAATATTACCAGCAATAAAAATTTTTGTCGGCATTAAATAACTCATTGAGGTTGATATGCAGTAAAACAAAATAAACCAATCCAATCTAAACCAAAGAATACATATTCTATTCATACGAATCTATCCTAAAAATGTTGTCGGCATTAAATAACCCATTGAGGTTGATATTCCATTAAACAAAATAAACTAAACCAATCATAATAATAATAATAATAATAATAATAATAATAGTAATGGCTGCAGGTGGAATCTTAGTGTGCTAATCCGGATATATTCTTTTTAAGGAACTTTTTTTGAATGAGAATCTTACTTTTTAGGATCCTGTATTATGAGGAGGGTGAGAAATGACCCCAAATATAAAATCTATTGTATTTTTTCTTTGTTTAAGGAATTCTTTATTGACCCTCCTCTAACCTGTAATGCGGGGTGGGGAATGATCCACCCTACAAAGTTTGATTATCATCACTCATATTAGCGTCAGCAAATTGAACATTTTAATCTTTGGCCGACTCCACTCTGGGTTCGCCACTCAATATGTAAGCTATGTGAATTTTGATACAATTAATTTAGAATTGTAAGAAAAGGAGAAATGTAGTTTCATTTTTCAGTCTCTTTGACTTTATTTTACTTTACTTTAAATTTTTTTGATAATCCCCAATGTATGTACGCCTCTGACCTTTCATTAGGAGTGACCATTGTGACTAATACTAAGTTAAAACTTATTATAGTCAATACCATTTGCATATAACTATGTTACTCTCCTGAATGTACTAGATCAGGAAATCTCTGAATGCCCCCTTGAATGGTACTAGATCAGGAAATCTATGAATGCCCCCTTGAATGGTACTAGATCAGAAAATCTATGAATTCTCCCTAGAATGGTACTAGATCAGGAAATCTCTGAATTCTCCCTTGAATGGTACTAGACAGGAAATCTCTGAATTCTCCCTTGAATGCTACTAGATCAGGAAATCTCTGAATTCTCCCTAGAATGGTACTAGATCAAGAAATCTCTGAATTCTCCCTTGAATGGTACTAGATCAGGAAATCTCTGAATTCTCCCTTGAATGGTACTAGATCAGGAAATCTCTGAATGCCCCCTTGAATGGTACTAGATCTGGAAATCTCTGAATGCCCCCTTGAATGGTAGTAGATCAGGAAATCTCTGAATTCTCCCTTGAATGGTACTAGATCAGGAAATCTCTGAATGCCCCCTTGAATGGTACTAGATCAGGAAATCTCTGAATGCCCCCTTGAATAGTACTAGATCAGGAAATCTCTGAATTCTCCCTTGAATGCTACTAGATCAGGAAACCTCTGAATTCTCCCTGAATTGTACTAGATCAGGAAATCTCTGAATTCTCCCTTGAATGGTACTAGATCAGGAAATCTCTGAATTCTCACTTGAATTGTACTAGATCAGGAAATCTCTGAATTCTCCCTAGAATGGTACTAGATCAGGAAATCTCTAAATTCCCCCTTGAATGGTATTAGATCAGGAAATCTCTGAATGCCCCCTTGAATGGTACTAGATCAGGAAATCTCTGAATTCTCCCTTGAATGCTACTAGATCAGGAAACCTCTGAATTCTCCTGAATTGTACTAGATCAGGAAATCTCTGAATTCTCCTGAATGCTACCCATGAAATGAATTCTCCCTTGAATGGTACGAGATCAGGAAATCTCTGAATTCTCCCCTGAATGGTAGTAGATCAGGAAATCTCTGAATGTCCCCTGAATGGTACTAGATCAGGAAATCTCTGAATTCTCCCTTGAATGCTACTAGATCAGGAAACCTCTGAATTCTCCCTGAATTGTACTAGATCAGGAAATCTTTGAATTCTCCCTTGAATATTACTATATCAGGAAATCTCTGAATTCTCCCTTGAATGGTACTAGATCAGAAAATTTCGAACTCTGGATATCTGAATATCCCCCGCCCCCGTTTCAAGACGACGAGCCCTTTAGTCTTGGTTGCCAGTCGTCCTTGAGCTGGTATCTTGAACAAAATTATCCCTTAGTGGTCAAGGATAAAACGCAAAAAAAATAGTAGGAAAAAATCTCAATGCCTACAAACAAATACTCATACCGGATTAACCGTCAACCAAGGCTGCGTCTCTCAGAGCTGAAAAAATCTGCCAGTGGAACAAACTCTTCCAACAACTATGAGATATCGGGTTACTAAACGCGAACTATTTCCAAGCTTGGGCCAAGTGACTCAATACCAAATCAAATAATACAAAAAGCTAACGAAGAGTATCTAGAAGTTATGATATCCTTTTTCATCGCATTCGAAAATTCACAGAAGAACATCATGAATCTGACATACCAAATATGGAAAACTATTGTAGGAATTTGAAAAATGCCCTATCACAACCCAAAATGTTTACCAATATCGGCAGCGACTCTCAAATGGAGAAATAGATCCGATAATACTAAATATATGACAGAATACCATAACCCATTACTCCAACAATAAATAGGTTAGGTTGGTATTAAATAATGTGACAGAGGAGAAGGTAAAATCTAAAATAAATGACATACAAAATAATAATATTTCAGGAAATAAAACTGAAGATTTTACCTGCGACATAAACTATACTTATTTAGATTATGACACTGAAGATGAGTTGAATGATATTAGGGCAGAATTCCTTGAAAACAACAAAGGTGAAATCACCGAAGCAAAAAAAATAAAAAGAAAGAAAAAACACATCATTTAAGTACTCAGCAGAGTAATTCGCACTGACAGAGACCAACTCTCTAAATGATATAATCCAATAAACATATGGCATAGTCCAATAAACATTTTGTGAAAATATATCTGTCCGAATTTTACCTTTTTTTTAAATGAACGAAATTTAAAGAGTATTTTATAATGTCTAATGGAGCTGAACATTATTTTTATGTTTAGATGCATTTAAACTGATCAAATTTTATTTCAGAGAACAATAAAATTAAATTTTGTTTGATTAAAACCCTG